ATCTGCTTAATCCACTAGTATTTAAACACTGCCTTTAGCTCTTTACTTCACACACACACCCCTCTATGCAGTTTATATTAACCTAAATAGTTTACAATCTGCTTAATCCACTAGTATTTAAACACTGCCTTTAGCTCTTTACTTCACACACCCCTCTATGCAGTTTAAATACTAGTATTTGTAAAAGTCGACCGATTGAATCAGCCATAATATGCCTATTTTCTAAAACATCATTCAGAAAATAGTTAACTTTGTTTTTTAGTTTTGTATATGATCTCCCATCATGAGTTGAGTACAGTTCTTTTATAATCGCTGTAATGTTCATGCTATAAGTTATCTGTCTAGTAGGTGGATATTTGACTGTAACATAGATTTGATCTTAATCACAGCCAAGTGCTTAAGTTGTTTCTGTAATATCAGTTTTTGTTTTTTGTTCTTTCAAGGTGGTTAAGAAGGGTTCGTGGAGATCAGTGAGCTCCTTTGGTACATATTTGTCCTAGTTCAAGGTTTGGTCCTTGGACTTTGCCTGATAAAATCATCTTGTTTGTGAGATAATTGTGATAGAAATGACCTACTTAGTTTAGATTATTATACTTGTTTTGAAGTATTAAGCAAAAAATGAACTATCATGTTTTATATTTATAGTTTGATGAGCAACAGTGTACTGCATGTACTAAGTTAGGTGATTTTAAATGGTACGGGTTGAAAAGTTCATACTCATTAATAATTGATAGACACTGATTAACAGTTTTAAATTACATTCTTAGGACTAAGTAAAGAGGTGTGCATGTGGGTTTTCTGAAAGCACTGAGTAATGATACCTCATGAAAGTTAAAATCATAATTTGGAAATGTATTTTCTTATGTATCAAACAATACATTTGACCAGTGTTTCTGAAATAACCATGCTTACTAGTAAGGATATTTTAATTAATTTTTAATAGTTAAGGGAAAATTAACTTTGTTGGTCATCCTCTAAATCTGTGGTGTATAAACTGTGGGGTGCACGACTGACTACAGGAGCAAACATTTGAAAGGACTAAATTAAAAGTAATGAAGTTTTAAGAACTGCTGTACAAATAATAATAATATAGTAAAAACAATAAACATGAGAAAAATGATGTTACGTATATAGACAAATAGGTTATACAACATGGGTGGTAACAAAATGATCTAAATCTGTGTGTCTTGTATCTGTGACAATTAATATCATTAGATTCAGTGTTCTGTCTATCCTGTTAGTATTAACAATTGTGATTAATCCTGTTAATTGTTATTTCTGTTATTTTATTGTATTTTTAATAGCCATCCTTTATATGAATGTTACAAATGGTGCCTCTTATTGAATAATGCTGAGGTTAAATTGATTTCCACCTGCACATAATCACACATGCTAAAGCAACATGCCATAAAAAGAGTTACATGTGGCTTGTATGGTAGAAACAACTCCTGCAAACTTGAATACAGTACATTTTAAAGTACACATATAATGTTGGTACATAACAGATACATACATAGTGTTTCTATCATAGTTTTAGTGAATGTGGGTTGTTTCTTTGTAATAGTCGTTTCATGTGCCAGAAAAAGAAGGGAGAAATCTTGTAAACAGTAGTGAGGTTTCATTAAACTTAAACAGATGTTTTGTTTGTCTATATGAAAAACAGGTCAAAAGTGGTTTTGTTGTTGTAATAGGTTTTTATGCAAAAGATGTAATCTGAAACATCAGTAAAACATTTTTTCTGGTGCTAATTTTTTATTTTTGGAATGAATAACTTACTTCAGTGTTTGCTGCGTTACATAAAACTTAATGATATTTTAGAAAATAAATAAACTTAGATATTAACTTAGTAACAAACATGTTATAGCGTATTCATGTAAATTTATATAGGGGTTTTCCATAAATGCAAAAAAGTTTTAAGTTTATAAGGGAAATTACATATATTTCTGAGCTTTGTAGGTAACTTAAATATGTGTTTTTTTTTATAATAAGTAATAGCACACTTTTAAAAATGTTTGTACAACTCTTTAATGCCATTTGTTTGTAGGGAGAGGATTGTGTCAGGAGGTCACGTCTATGTCCTAATGGAGAGTGGATTAGTTGTATACACAAAGATGTCAAAACTCTGTACGATATCCTCTATCGAGGATTTAAAGTATCAGGTAGGGATTCTTAAAGATATCCTTGTATGTTTTTAATAGTGAATTAAATTCATTGGCTAAATGAAGAAAATGTCATATTTTTTGTTTTGTAGAAATATTTACTTTTATATGTATAAAAATGTCATATTTTTTGTTTTGTAGAAATATTTACTTTTATTTTCTACATCTATTCTAGGCATGAACAAGTGTGTTTATAAACAACATTCAAAGCTGTACTATTTGGTACTTAGTTTTGGACAGAAAATATAGTTTTCTCTTGTTTAGTGAGTGTGTCAAGCTTCCAGTATTTTGTTACACAGAAAACTTTATTGGTTTTTGACAATGATTCCCAAGAACAGAAATGTTTGCTGCATCATGTTATTTGAAACAAGTTTTGCTGTTTATCATATTTTGTGCTATTGAGGGCAAGGACCCGTGTAAAGTTTAACTTGAGTAAATGTGTTGAAACATAAAAAAATACAAAACTATGTCAATGACAAAAATTTTACAGCTTTATGTTTTCACATAGATAAGTGCAGTGCTAGTTAGTACTGACATTTGTTGATCCCTCATAAGAATTGTTTGTTCATTGAGAACACAACTATTGAAATATGTAATTAATTATGACAAGAAACCCACTTGAAGTAAAAATGTATAACAGAGACGGCTGATATGGGTATTAAAAACTGTAATTAAAATAAAGTACAAGAACAACATTTCGATGTGTGGAGTTATCAAAGAATGTTTTCAGTTTATTAAAGATACACAAGACAAGATGCATTAGTAGAACACTACAGAATTGTTGCTACAATTATAAGTGTTAGCAATATGTACCACATTTCTAAGGTAATTTATGAAGAAGATAAATTTTTTCCTCAGGTTGGTTATCTTGACTGATGCTCACTTCTTCAATTGGAAAAAAGTTGAATAATGTTTTTTCTGACAAGTTTGCTCTATATTTTTACTTATTCTTTGCAATTTTTTACTAAGTGTTAAGTTCAGGACATCAGATTAGTAATTTGGTTCTTTGTATATTTTCTCTGTGTTGGTAGGGGACCACTTAGACCTGATGGTCAACTCAGAGAAATTCACAAAATATTTTGCTTCTTAAAATTACTTCAGAAATATGAAAGTTGTTAAATATTATTCTCCTGTTGGTAGTGTACTCAACTGTTTGAAAAAATCTAATTTGGTGTAGAATTTGTTGTGATCAGAACTGTACTTTCATTGTTTTGCTTGACACCATCACATTGGTTGTTTGAATGAAATTGTAATAGCCTAATACATTACAGTATACATTTTTATGCCCCCCATTGCGTTCTGAAGCAGAGCTGGATATATTGGTTTGTGTATGCCTATTTGTCCTGATCTGGTTGACAAGATATCTGATGATTGGATAGATTTTGATTAGACTTATACAATAGGTAGTACAGAACAAAGTTCTAGACGTGATTAATTTTTGAAGGTCAAGGTCACTGGTACATAGAAAATCTTCCCCAACCTTGTGGACATGATATTTCAATACTAAATGAATGGATATTGACCATACTTATACAACAGGTACTACATACAACATTCAATACCTGATCAACCTGTGAAGGTCATGGATCAAAGGTCACAATTATTTCACAGTTTTTATAAAAAAATTTCTGTGTGAAATGTTTTTTACTTTTCATAACATTGTGTATATTCTAGTCCAGAATATGGCTTTAATCCATGTACATTTTATATCAGGACTCGATGTATAATTCAAATTTATATATTGTCTAATATTTAACTTCTTAGTTTCAAAAGTAAATATTTAAAAAAATCTCACTTTTCAGTTGTATTGTCATGTGATGTATATACACACTCAGTTTTCCCTCCTAGTATGTACAACTTCAGTAGTGTATCTTCTGTAGCACAAGCTATAAATGATGACAAGGTCAAACATACAATTTTAATATCCTAATTTATTCATTTGTTGAGATATCAGTACATTTTCATACCACTGACAGAACCTCTACTTTCAAAGCCACGTGTTATAAACAATAGAAAAGGCTTTTCTTTCTATTTTAAGTTAGCAGCCATTCGTTCGAACATTAGTTGAGAGGAAATGATTGATATGTGTGTAAACAGAGTTGCGGTTCATAGCAGTAACAGAATTTTTTAGCTTATAAACCCAGTAAAACATAGAAGTATTGGGACATCTTATTCTAGTGACAGATATACTTTTCTGAGCTTCATATTTGAAAGGTACATGAATTTTTGTTTGAACAACACATTTTTAGAAAAAGAAAAAACTAGGTATGTTAAATCACAAGTTCAAGTGCATGCTGTGCAGTATATCAGTGTATGAGAACCTACTAATGTTTAGCTGCTGTGATCTGTTGCTTATGTGGTACAAGCCAAGCTATAAAATCAAAATTAAATTGATGTTAAAAGGCTAACAGTTGAAATTTTGAATATGATTATTTGAAGAAGTGACAACAAATTATACATTCAAAGAAGATGGAAGATAATTTTCAAATATTCACTTCACTGTTTATTGATGATTTAGCTATACCTAGTCTTAGGGTTGAGAAAATAACAGACTGTTATGTATTAGAATTTCAAATAGCCTGAAATTGAGTTAACTGATAAATTTAAATTTAGTAGTTAAGTAAAAGCCGATATATATTCAGTTTATGATATTTGCCAACAAGGTTGATACACACAGTTTTCTTTTTTAACACAAATATGTTTTAATGTACACACAACAATACAACTTACAATAACAGTTATTACAAATTGTTATTACAAACAATGATTTATAAACGAAAGTTTCACAAACTTACAAGCAATATAAAGTCTTCTTTCTGGTCTGGAACTTCCTTGATATCTTATTGAGGGTTCACGATGAGTGAGTTAATTACAAGTTGATGTAGGTATGATTCGCTTAATGGGAAGCTAGCTTTGTCCTTTGTTATTTACCAGACACACATGCTGAGTTTTCCACGATGAATTTATATAATTTTTTTTAAAAATACTAATTTCCAATGAGAATCCACTGAAGTTAAACTAGTTGTAATGTTCGAACTTTGTAAAGATTCCTGGTCAAATATCTGAAGTTTTCCAATTGTTAAGTGTTATAACAATCACAGTTATAGCTTCCAAAGTTTATAGCAAACTAATAATAGATACTTCCTTTTTTTTTTTTTTTTTGGCATGTTCTGTTGGTTATATTTACAGGCGTGTGGAGGCTTTCTACAAAACTCAGCTTTACATAACAATACAAAGCTACATTTAAGCATTTACGTACATACATATATTGTTGATTCTTACTCTCGAGAATTTTTTACAACTTTAGAGAATAGGTAGGAGTTTCGAAATACATATTTAACACTATAACTTTCACTTAAATTCACAGACAGATCTTTAGTAGAAATATCTTATTAAAACCTGATTGTTGTTTTGAACAACACTTGTAATTTTTACCAAAATATTGCCAACTTTTTAGCCACGCATAGAATGGCTCTGAGTTTTTTGTTCACCAAGTACAAACTTTTAGCTCATAGCTCCACCTCAAATACAGCTGACACAGAAGATGTAATGAACTTGTATAGTATGGGAGGGTGACAAAAATTATCAAATACAGCTGACACAGTGATATAATGAACATGTATAGTATGGTAGGGTGATAAAAGTTATCAAATACAGCTGACACAGTGATATAATGAACATGTATAGTATGGTAGGGTGATAAAAGTTATCAAATACAGCTGACACAGAAGATATAATGAACACGTATAGTATGGTAGGGTGACAAAAATTATCAAATACAGCTGACACAGTGATATAATGAACATGTATAGTATAGTAGAGTGACAAAAATTATCAAATACAGCTGACACAGTGATATAATGAACATGTTTAGTATGGTAGGGTGACAAAAATTATCAAATACAGCTGACACAGAAGATATAATGAACATGTTTAGTATGGTAGGGTGACAAAAATTATCAAATACAGCTGACACAGAAGATATAATGAACATGTTTAGTATGGTAGGGTGACAAAAGTTATCAAATACAGCTGACACAGAAGATGTAATGAACACGTATAGTATGGTATGGTGACAAATTATCAAATACAGCTGACACAGAAGATATAATGAACTTATATAGTATGGTAGGGTGACAAAAATTATCAAATACAGCTGACACAGAAGATATAATGAACATGTATAGTATGGTAGGGTGAAAAAAAAATTATCAAATACAGCTGACACAGTGATATAATGAGCATGTATAGTACGGTAGGGTTACAAAAACTATCAAGTATGGCTTACACAGAAATGGACACAAATTGTATTAATGTTTTTGGATGTTGTTTTATAAAATAAAATATGTATTGTTAATGTAATATGAACTATAAACTGAAAATATTTGAAATTGTGAATGCTAAACTGCATATATACCATTTGTACAAATATAGACACAATATGAACTTAGTTTAATAGATTATAAAAATAGAAGTGCCCATTGAATGAATAGTATCATGTTTTAATGATATTTCTACAATGTACCTAGATAATGGACTTTGTATGGGATGGAGAAAGAGCAGAGAAGAGGGATACAGGTGGACCAACTACAGTGAGGTTAGTAACATAAATTAAATTTAAGTGTAAAAGCTGTGGCTACAAAACTCTACAAAATATACTTTGTTTAAAATCTTTTAGGTGATGATGTTTCTCCAAAATTGTCCAAGACTTGAGTAAGTTCAATACTTCTTTAATAGTGCAAGTACATAAAAAGCTTATCTTGTTTCTCTAAAAAAAAGTTTTTTTTTCAGAAAACTTGTCAAATTTTAACCTTCCGTGAACACCCATTAAGTGTCTAGTGTACATCTGCATATCAAATTTAAAAATTTAGATGAAAGTAATTATTCAAACTCTTTTGACAACATTTTACCTAAAAATATTTTATAACATTTCTTTAAAAACACATTAATTGATTTTTTAAGACTTTTTCTGCCAGTCCCAAAGCATGTTTTTTTTTTTTCTAAGAAACTGTCATCTCATAACTAACCAAGTTTTTTTCTCTTTATTTTCTGTCTGTGCCCAACAATTTATTATTACAGGTCTCTGCTGTGAGGTCATGAAAGTATGGGAACTACTAATGAAGAACAGCTCTGAAAAGAGCTAAAGGCAGTGCTAACCCCAGATACTCTTGAGTTTACCATACATGCTTCCTCTCATGGGACAAATCTTACAAATCTAACCCTAGATACTCTTGAGTTTACCATACATGCTTCCTCTCATGGAACCAATCTTACAAATCTAACCCTAGATACTCTTGAGTTTACCATACATGCTTCCTCTCATGGAACCAATCTTACAAATCTAACCCTAGATACTCTTGAGTTTACCATACATGCTTCCTCTCATGGAACCAATCTTACAAATC